AATAACAGCAGAGGCTGGGACTTCTGTGCTGTTGATTACCGTGTTCTTTCAAACTACTTGTTATGGCTTTTACAGTCTACGAATGTAGTTTGGGTTTCCAAATGTGAACCAGTTCAAAACCCAAAAAATGTTTTGACGCAGGGACCGATAAGTATGTCGCGCGAGTAAAACATAACAGAAGAAAAGTATTCCAGTCAGTGTTTTCAAAGACGGAGTGGTTCAGCTGTTTGGGGAAGCCTGTTAGTTGAGGTGCTGGAAACAACTTGCGGGCATTTTCGAGTGCAATACAAAAAATGACATCAACTGAGTCAGACTCTGGATTATATCAGCTTCAGGAGTTAAGATGTCTTTTCCTCTATAGGAGGGAGCAGGAGGATGTTACATTCTCTCCAAGAGCAGCTGTCTCTGTTTAAGAAGCGGTAATGAAGAGTCTACACAAGTATACAGTAAAGATGTTCCACTGTTGTTCCTGATGAACTGCAACTAAGTAATATGTGGTGTTTTATATTCTAATTTTGGAGCATTAAGTAATGTGGTTGCCATTTGTCGACGTCTGCAGGCCAAAGCCAGGTCGAACTGGCGTAGGGTTCTGATATGAACTCCTCATCACTTCCCCTTTAAGATATTTTGATTAGTTTTAGCGTCACGATTTGAGTAAGATGTGCTGACCTTCAAAGGCTGCGTGCACTGATTCCGCACTTCATGGAAGCTGCGTGCGTGCCCGTTCAGATGCTTTGACCCGAGAAGCCCTGCAAGTTGACCTGATCCTGCCTCTGACAGGAGGGACAGGCAGGAACCACAACTGACGCTGCACTGCTCCTGGGTGGTCTCTGCTCTGGATCTCGTCCTCAAATCACCTGGATGTGGAGAGGAACAGGAGAGAACGACTCTCCCATCACAGGAAACATCACTGAGTTCAAGACTGAGAATCTGACTGCTGTCACACAGAGACACAGCTCAACTTTGACCTTTAACCCTTCAGCTGAACACAACCGCACCAATGTCACCTGTAAGGTCAGCTTCACAAACAGCATCACTACAGAGGAGACAGTGACTCTGAATGTGACCTGTGAGTAAAACATAACGTGCTGTATTCTCACCCTTTATCTTTTATCTAAAATGTTTGTTAAGAGATGGGCTCTTATGTTAGTAAAACATCTGAACAACAGTACGATGTACAACTGTTCAAAGACAGAAAACTTCTTTTAGTTCCTTGTCTTTCTTCTGATAAGGTAACTGAAACTAGGAATTTAGAGCAGCTTTAATAATCCTATCAAACTCATATTGAATAAATTCTCTGTACCTGTATGGGATGATCTCGGCGTGCATTTTTAATTACATTTTGACTGCAGAAGTAATGTACTGTTGTTGCTGTTTTTAATGGAGATTTAAAAAAGGTCCGGTGGGTGCATTGTGAAAGCTTCCAGATGTCTCTTGGTCACACTGGAGCCACATGTTTAGAATAATAAAAACAGGTGATGTCTGTTCAAGCCACTGTGTATAGATTTTTAACTATATTGGACTTTAGCGCCCACCAGTGGTAGTATTTAAAGAACAGACATCATGTCAGGCAACACACAATATTAGGTAACCTAATAACATGTGTTTATCATGTTTATCTCATAGGACTGCACAATTAATCGAATATCAACCACCACTTTGGCTTCCCACAATTAAATAAAGGATATCGTCTATGATATTGACATTTAAATTGCATGCTCTGCTCATAGAAAACTATGCTGCATCTACAATCTTGTACTGTAAACTAAAAGCCAACCACCACAGGTGATCACCTGGATGTGCAAAAGTAAAAGTAAATGTTTAAATTTTTTATTTTATTTTATCAAATAAAACAAGACAATAAATGAATGTTTGCCGCAAATACTGAGTTTTACGTTCCATACCCTAGTTTTTCTTCTTTTTCAATGAAGAAATCACCCAAAGTCTTTTGTCAAGGGGTGGCAAAACTTTTGAAAACAACTGTATATCTTAATTTCAAATATTTTGTTTAAAATTTGCTTCACAGACACTTGTAATCACTGGAAATACAATTGTTATGGAGGGGCATACTGTGAATCAGACCTGCACTGTTGAAGGTTTTCCTCAGTCTTGTATCACATGGTCTAATTTTGGTTCAAACACAAACCTGCACAATAAAGCTAATACTGACGTGCAGAACGACACTGGATCAGCCACACTGGTCATCCAAAATGTGATGGCAGAACATTCTGGACTGTACATCTGTACAACACACCATCTGGACATTGCTGATGTAGCTGTGATTTATAAGTAGAATACTAATTGTGTGTATATATATACATAATATATAATACAGCTTAAAAAGAATGTTTATGTTTGAATTTTACAGCATTTTGTTGTGATGTTGTGATTCTGCTTGT